TCCTCTTTTTGCGGAGGAAGACTGGCCCTGGGCTAACATCTGTGCCCATCTTCCTCCACATTATGTGGGACGCCACCACAGCATGGCCTGACAAGTGGTGCATCAGTGTGCGCCTGGGATCAAACCCAGGCCCTCAGCAGCAGAGCGCGCTTAACCGCTACGCCACCAGGCGGCCCCTCCGCTATGTTTTTTTTTGTGTGTGTGTGAGGAGATCAGCCCTGTGCCAACATCTGCCAATCTTCCTCTTTTTGTTGCTGAGGAAGACTGGCCAACATCCGCGCCCATCCTCCTCCACTCTACATGGGACGCTGCCACAGCATGGCTTACCAAGCAGTGCATCGGTGCGCACCCGGGATCCGAACCTGCAAACCCCGGGCCGCCACAGCAGAACACGTGCACTCAGCCACCTATGCCACCGGGGTTATGTTTTACTGTTATGTTTTTAACAGTATTGCCTCAACCCCATTCCTAAGTATCTCCCTCTGGAATCTAATTAGATATATGTTCTTACTCAGTTGTGATATCTCTTAACCTCATTTTATTTTTTTTTTTTAGATTTCTTTTTTTTGTTTAATTTTTTGTTTATTGTAGTAACATTGGTTTATAACATTGTATAAATTTCAGGTGTACGTCATTATACTTCTATTTCTGCATAGATTACATCATGTTCACCACCCAAATACTAATTACAACCCATCACCACACACTTGTGCCGAATTATCCCTTTCGCCCTCCTCCCTCCCCTCTTCCCCTCTGATAACCACCAATCCAATCTCTGTCTCTATGTGTTTTTTTCTTGTTGTTATTATCTACTACTTAATGAAGGAATCATACAGTATTTGACCTTCTCCCTCTGACTTATTTCACTTTGCATAATACCCTCAATGTCCATCCATGTTGTCACAAATGGCTGGATTTCATTGTTTCTTATGGCTGAGTAGTATACCATTGTGTATATATACCACATCTTCTTTATCCATTCGTCCCTTGATGGGCACTTAGGTTGCTTCCAGGTCTTGGGTATTGTGAATAACGCTGCAATGAACACAGGGGTGCATGTATCTTTATGCATTGGTATTTTCAAGTTCTTTGGATAAATACCCAACAGTGGAATAGCTGGATCATATGGTAGTTCTATCCTCAATTTTTTGAGGAATCTCCATACTGTTTTCCATAGTGGCTGCACCAGTTTGCACTCCCACCAGCAGTGTATGAGAGTTCCCTTCTCTCCACATCCTCTCCAACACATGTTGTTTCTTGTCTTGTCTTAACCTCATTTTAATAGTGTTCTTTCATTTTTCTATCTCAGATGCATTCTAAATTATCTCATCGTGCTTATTCCATTTCATTAATTTTCTCTTCAGCTATATCTAATCTGCTGTTTAACCTGTTGGGTGAGTTTTTTACTTCAAAAATTAAATCTGTCATTTCTGTTTTTTCAGTTTTTCTTTAAAATATGTTCTTTGCTGATACATTCTCATTGTGTGCGCCTTTTTAGGAATTTATACTTTTGTATTTTAAACATTTTTACATAGCTGTTTTATGTCCTATATTCAAATATCTCCGTTGCTTGAAGGTCTAAATTTGTTGTTGGTTGATTTTTTGAACTCTCACTTACAGTGGCTTGCCTTAGGCAGTGCTGGCTGATTTTTTGTTATGGGAACCATTCACAGATCTTAATTTGTGCCTGTTCCATGACCATTAATTGGAGACTTTTTTCAAAGAGAAAATTTTCTTCTGCGTTTTGCTACCTGCTAGAGAGAGATTCCTCAGCAAAAAAATCTAAAGCTCGTTTACCTCTTTTTCCTGTTGTCCTCACTTTGAGAATCCCAATTATATTCTTCCTCAAAGCAACTGCACCTGTTTTATAATGTTCCCTTTTCAAGAGGTAACTAGTTTCAAATCTTTTCAGTAATTATTAAATAACATGGCTTTTCTTGCTCTTTCTTGATTATTCATTTTAGAGCATTGTTTATTGATGTCTTACTGTGGAAAATGATAATTGGCTAACTTTTACCTTTTCCAGCTCCCATCACACATTCTTCTTATGTACCTATACTCCTAATATTTTTATATCATAAGTTTTATTAATTGATTAACTCATTCATTTGTTTCAGAATTGACATAGTCTGTCTATAAATATTATTCATGGCACAGTCCTGTATTTTATGATCAGTTATCCTTTCCTTTATAACATTTGTTTTTCCTGTATTTAATAATTGTGTTTATTGTTATTAAGTTTTCCCTGTACCTCTCCCTAATTAACTGTTGTCATCCTGGGGATTCTCATCATTTTTCTCCTGTGTTGGATCTTTTGCCTTCTAGATCCCATTGTCTTCTTTCTTTTTGTAATTCCTTCTTTTGGTGGAAGACATTTTTTATTTTTAATCATATTATTTGTGTAGTCTTTAATATTTATGTGATATTAATTATAAAATAAATTCTATTACAGTGGGCTCATGCAAGGAAGCAATTCATAGTAATTTAAATCTAATTGTATTTTCATTTCTCTATGGATTTTAGAAAAGTCTTTTAACCTTTAAGATTGAATTATATATTCTTGAATTTAAATAAATTTTAAAACTCTCCATTTAAATTTGTTCAACTCATTACTTTAAAATAAAACGGTTTTAATAAACAATTTTTCATATTTGGGGACAAATTCTATTTCTCACCTAATAACATTTTTGGCGAGAATGAGTTGTTATAAAACAAGAACATTATTGAAATTAACTCTTGCTGCATACTGTAATACTATATTTCTGTTAGTTTGTGGAGATGATGGTCTCTGGTGTAGTAGAGCTGCTATAATTGTTTGAAAAGTGGATATAATTTTGGGAAAGTTCTATTTTATTTCCCTTAATATAATATAGCATTTTAAGCCTTTATTCTGTAGGCTAGTGGTATTTGAGAAATAGAAGAATTTAAATTCTCATGAGGAATTTGCATTCTATTACAGGAAAAAATATATATTAAATTCTATTTTCCAGTGGACTTCAATTATGACTCATCGTTTGCAATCATCTTGTGTTTAGTTTCTTCCCCATCATTCCTTCCTGATATGTATTTGAGTAAATCATTGCTCACCAGCACACGCATTGGTACATGGAAGTGGGGATTGTGGGATTGCTTATGTTATCTCAGCATGCTGCCTAGGAATCTGTACTGATCTGGGTCCCTGAGAGGAGTAGCCCTGTAGGGTGGAGTACACATGGCAAATTTCACTTGTTTGAAAATTCTGTGCAAAGCTGTGAGAAAAGGGGAAATTTCTTTCTCTTGTTTCTTTTCCTCCATCCATCTCTGTGGTTCACTTTTCATAGGACTTGGTATTAATGTTAATTATACTAATTGTTTAAATAATCTGCAATATTATAGAACAAATGGGCTTTTTTCAGCTAACCTGAGAACCTATCTACCATTTATTCTGACTTTTTTTTTTTTTTTTTTTAGCCCCTACCATGTGGCAGTTACTTTCCTAGATGCTGGAGATACAGTTGAGAGCAAAACTGACAAATACCCCTTCCTTCATAGTCCATACATCCTGGTGGTGTAATAATAATATTTTTATCAAAAAATATATGTAGAAATGCAAAAACTTATTTATGGATATACATAGTATGCATATAAATTAAGAATGGGGTATTCTGCTTAAGTTCTGTGTGAGCTACTTTTTATCAGAGAGGGACAAAAATATTTTAGTAGGATGGAATTGCATCTTGTTACACTTCAGCTTTGTGTTTTATGTCAGAATGTTAGCCTGCATTTCGTCTCGGCAGCTCTCTCCCTTTGCTTCTGAACATTTAAAGCTGTAATTTACAGTGATTTATTTAGTGGTTATAATAATGCTTCCTTTCACATCGTGAATTAGTTTTATAATATAAACAAAGTAGACAGATAATATTCCATTCTCACGGCAAATATAGAAATTGCTGTTTGCCTAAAAAATTAAGCTTATTACTATTTTTTAAAGACAAATGCACTTTTTAATGAGATATAATTCACATTCAATAAAATTTATTATTTTAAAGTGCATAATTTAGTGGTTGTGCAACAATCACCATTTTCTAATTCTGGAACATTTTCATGACTCCTGAAAGAACGGCACATCTATTAGCGGTTATTTCCCATTCTTCCTTCCCCCCCAGGTCCTGGCATCCACTAATCTACTTTTTTTTTTTTTTTTTTTTTTTTGTGGGGAAGACCAACCCTGAGCTAACATCCAATGCCAATCCTCCTCTTTTTGCCGAGGAAGATGGGCCCTGCACTAACATCCGTCCCCATCTTCCTCTACTCTATATGGGACACCCCCACAGCATGGCTTGATGAGTGATGCCTTGGTGAGCACCCAGGATCTGAACCAGCAAACCCTTGAGCTGCCGCAGTGGAGCACACGCACTTAACCGCTGTGCCACCAGGCTGACCCCTAATCTATTTTTTCCTCTATGGTTTTGCCTTTTCTGGCCATTTCATATAAGTGGAATCATACAACATGTGGTTTTCTGTGACTGGCTTTTTTTCACTTGAGCTTATTTTCAAGGTTTATCCATGTTGTAGCGTGTATCAGTACTTCATTCCAAATTATATATAATTTTACATTTTGTGGCTATACTACATTTTGTTTGTCCATTCAACAATTCATGGACATTCATATTTTCCCCACTTTTTGGATATTATGAATAATGCTGCTATGAAAATGTGTGTAGAAGATTTTGTGTGGACATATGATTTCAGTTCTCTTTGTATGTACCTAGGAATAGAATTGTTGGGTTATGTTGTAACTATTGTTTTTCTTTTTGAGGAAATGCCAAATTGTTTTCCAAAGTATTTGCACCATTTTGTGTTCCCACCAGCAGTGTATGAGGGTTTGAATTCCTCCAAATCCTTGTCAACACTTGTTATTGTTTGTCTTTTTTATTACAGCTATCCTAATTGGTGTGAAGTGACATAAAGCTTATTATTTTTTATGAGGAATTATAGCAATTTAAAATCTTGTTTTTTAGGTGCCGTACTTCTTTGTAGTGTACAAGGACTAGCAGTTAACATTGACCCAGTCTTATACACCTGGCTCATTTATCAGCCTCAGAAACAAACCAGTAGACATGTGCAGCAGGTAAGAAATGTTTATGATTTATTCTCTAAATGAATAAATATTTTTCTCATTTATTAGAGTTATATATTTCTTCTGTTGATTTTATAGATGTGCCAGAATTTTTCAGTCCCCCACTCTGCCCCTTTCAAGCAATTCTATTCCTTAATTTCTGTACAAGAAATTGCAGCTCAAAGTAGAGTTTCATTTACTATTAAAGGGGCTTTCTGTACAATTGCTCGTAAAACAGTTGCATGAGACAGGCTAGTTTAAATAGTCCTATTTTACTGGCCTATTTTCCTTCAGTGCCAATATGTTTGTTCTCAGGGTGTCTGATATAGAAGAATTGCTTAGTAAATGTTACCTTTCATTTTTATTATCTCTATATTTCTTCTTCATCTTTAGGTTTATTCAACAGATGTGCATTGAGTTTCTAACTCTGGGATTGGGGTGGTTTGTGCAAAAGAGTTGGGATATATGTTAGTTTAAGAAAATATAAACTACAAAGTAAAAAGTAACTAATTGTAATTTCTAGAATACTTAGATGTAATTCTCTATGTCATGTAACTTAAGTGTAATTCTGACAGATAGATTTTATTATGCCTATTTTAAAGATGAAGAAACCAATGCTTATTGAGGTTTACTTATCTGTTGTCACATATATAGTAAATGGCAGAACTAAGAATTTTTGAGGCCAAATTTATGCTATATTGAATTGCATTTTCCCATTGACTTAATTGTAATTTTGTAATATTCTATTTGAAATAGCTTTGTATCTTTTTTCTGAAGTAACTTGAAGCTAGTTGAATGGAGAAAAATACTCAATTTTATAATTACATAAGAATATAAAAAGTTAACCAAAAACTACAACCCATGTCTCAAGGAGCAGCTTTTAAAGGTTTTTCTTCACTTTGTCCTAATTTCCTTTGAAACTTCTCCCCCATTCCATTCTTCCTTTTATCAAGTAGATACAGAATATGAGGCAGTATGCTAGATACTGGGGCTGTAGAAATAAAAGTCATGGTTGAGAATATCCTTCCCTCTAGAGGTATTTAGTGTATTTGAGAATATGAAGGAATATAGTAATGCCAGTCTTACTAATTGCTGCATTAGATGTATATATAGGATTATATGAAAACAAAAAAGAGGAAGAGTTCTCACAAGCTGATGAGAGTGCTAAAAGGAGGAATTGACAATTGCGCTGAGCGTCATGGGAGTAAGCCAGACAAGGAAGGTTGTTTTATACTGAACTATGTGAACAGAGGCAAAGAATATGCAATAACTTGGCAAGAAAGGGACCTTCAGTTTTTCTAGACTGCAGGCAAGTGTTCTTATAGCAACTGGTAGAAATTGGAAACCAATTTATAAAAGATTTTATTTATAGTGCTAAGTGCTTGATACTTTATCCTGAAGGGTAAAGAGGAAGTACAGGAAACTGATATAAATAGATTTGGATTTTAGAAAGTTTACTCTAATAGAATATAGAGTATGGGTGATGGAGAAGTAAGACTAATGGCAGGGAAATTTTAGTTGTAAATTTTTTTTCCTCATTGAGATATAATTGACAATATAACATTATATTAGTTTCAGATATACAACAGAATGGTTTTATATTTGTATATATTGTGAAATGATCAGCACAATAAGTCTGGTTCAAATTCATCACCACACATAGTTACAGATCCTTTTTCCTTGTGATGAGAACTTTTGAGATTTACTCTTAGCAACTTTCAAGTATACAATACAGTATTGTTAGCTATAGTCATCATGCTGTATATTACAGTATCCCATGACTTATTTATTTTATCCCTGCAAGTTTGTACCTTTTGACCCCCTTCACCCATTTCTCCCACCCCTGCCTCTGGCAACCTCCCTTCTGTTCTATGTATGTGGGAGTTCAGGCTTTTTTTTGTTTGTTTAGATTCCACATCTAAGTGAAATCATATGGTATTTTTTTTTCTCTGTCTGACTTATTTCACTTATCATAGTACCTTCACGGTCCCTCCATGTTGTTGCCAATGGCAAGATTTTCTTCTTTTGTATGGCTGAATCATATTCCATTGTATTGTAAATTCTTCCTTGGCTATTTTATAAGTGATGCAATTATCTCCAGTATACCATAGATATCCGCGAAGATCAAATAGTGTTCTAGTAGCTTAAGTAAATTAAACATTCATTTGATTGATACCAAGCACTTTCAGAGATTTTGCTTTTTAATTTTATTTTTGTTATATTGTTTTATAACTATTTTAAAATTAAATATATTTTATAAGTTCAAAAACAGTAGTTTTATTTAAAAGATAAACTAATAAATACCCATAATCCTGCTCATGCAGAGTTACAAATAATACTGAGGTAAGTATCTTCATAGATAAATCTTTGTACTTTTTCTTTCTTCTTCTTCTTTTTTTTTGCTGAGGAAGATTGGCCCTGGGCTAACATCTGTGCCCATCTTCCTCCACTTTATCTGGGACGCGCCACAGCATGGCTTGGCAAGTGGTGTGTCGGTGCGCGCCTGGGATCCAAACCTGTGAACCCTCGGGCTGCCGAAGCGGAGCGTGCGCACTTAACTGCTACGCCACCAGTCCAGCCCCCCAGGTCCCGCTTTTTGATGTAGCTGTTCTCTTACAGTGACATTCATATGAGTGTAAGGAGTCAGGTACAAGCATGTCATTGCAGTATTCATTGTAATGGTATAAAATTGGAGACAACCTAAATCACTGTCTCTGATGAAGTGGATAAAGCTTGGCATATTCACGTGATGTAATACTTTATTGTTAAAGATTATATAATAGGTCTTAATATGGATGTCCCAAAATTATATTTCATGCAAAAACCAATTTCCCAAGGATTTTTGCAATATGCGAGTGTCTACGTATATTTTTCCAAAACCACTCTTAAAATAAATAAATATATATGTAATATGTGTAAATAAATATAGGTGTAAAAAATTAATTTGAAGAATTGTCTCAGTGTCATAATAGTGGTTGACTCTGGGAGGAATCGGCAGTTGGTTAGTAGTCAGGGGATTTTAGCTTTATCTGCAATACGTTATTTATCTCTTTTATTTTAAAAAAAAAGCAAATATATTATGTTAATAGCCAGTAAGTATTGGTTGTGATAGGAATATGGATGTTGTTTTCTTCTTTATAATTTTCTGTATTTTTACATTTATTAAATTAATAATAAATTAAAGGAGGGAAAACTTTATAGGAAGAGGGACCAAAGGCTTTAGGTATTTGGGGTTCATGAGATACTGATGGGGCAAGGATAGGACAGATCTGAGGCTAGAGATTAACTGAAATTTGAGAGAATATCCAGTACCAGAAGGTAGAAGAATGTAAGCAGACCAATGGTAGGTTGCTAAAAATAAATACTGCTTATTTTGATATTTTTGACTGGAGTAAACATATTTCCAGAAAACTGGAGGGAATCACTCTCCTTACTCTTCATGCATTATCTCTTCATGCCTGACACGTAGCACCGATATTAGCAATCATTCAGCAAATATTTTTGGAGGGTCTGTTGGACACCATTCTAAGTATTTGGAATACAGCTCTGTAGAAGACATGTAAGATCCTTGCTCTCTTGTTAGAAAGGGTTTTTATTTGGCCTTTACTATGTTTTTTTTATTGCGTGAAAATGCACCCAGAGTTTTAGCCACCGAAAGGAAGATTTCTGTTTGTTGGGTATTGTCGATACCATGGCTTTCATTAATCTCATTTTTCAACTATTGTGCTTGAATTCAATATCACACTATGCAGCACATAATTTTTCTCTAATTATTTATTATATATTAATTTTGATCCTGAACTTGGTTGTAATTTCTTAGAGTACTTGGTCATATTCCAGGTTTGTAAATAATGGCCAAGAAATTCAAGGGATTATGGAATCACTAAATGTTAGAGCATAAAGGGGATTTCTAGTAGACATCTCAACCCCCTTATTTTATAGATGAGGAAGTTAAATGAATCAAAACTTACATTATGCTCTGCCGTTCTCATGTAGGTCTTAAATATTATTTCCTATTTCAAATTGTATAAATATTATCAGTTTGACTAAATATTTAGTATGAAGGCAAGTACTCTACATTAAGATGTTTTGTATAGTATATTTAATCTTTTTATTTTCTCATTATCAACTTTCTTGTCCTTTTACTCAGCCTAAGTAGGAACTTGTAAAACAATTTGCCGTTTTCCCTCTAGCTCATCACTTGATTGGTTATATTACATAGTTATAAAATGTACAAATGTTCTTATTGAAATATTTATTCATAATCTAAATAATATTAAATAAGTATTATAAGTTGGGTGAGGATTCAAGTTGGATGTATAAAAGTGTGGTTGTTGTGGTGCTGAGGGTAACAGACTACACTGCAGCCTGACCAGCCCCTCCAGATTCATCATCTGGTGCAGCTGTGTTACAGTTATCATCTGTTGTTTCCCAAGCTGCAATTTCCTTCTCAATTTGTGGCTAAAACCCAACATTTGATGATTGTTTTCCACCCAGTTCAACATTGATCTTTGATCCTGCAGCAAACTTAAAAATACCTATTTATTTTTTTTGCCAAAAATCTGACAAGATTGTATTGGGTGTCCTCAGCAGTAACATCAGACTTTATTTTGGTGAATAAAGATGAAACAGCTGCTTTATGGTCCAGCTCAGCAGTCATGCATTCACTACAGGATCATAATGTTTTCCAGCTTTCTCTAACTATAGATATTTTTCTGTGCTTTCCAAATATGCTGTGGATATCACTATGTCAGACAAAATAATAGAGATTTTTGGTAATTATTAAAAAAAATTGAACTGTCCATATTAACGTGTACAAAATCGGTTTATAGAAGTATGTCACTAACAATATCATTTTGTCAGCACCATGCTCTAACTGAGCTAACCAGCGTCCTAAAAATATTATTTTATAAGGCTAACTTTTTGTTTTGTTTTGTTTTTGGTGAGGAAGGTTAGCCCTGAGTTCTAACATCCATGCCCATCTTCCTCTACTCTATATGTGGGACGCCTGCCACAGCCTGGCTTGATAAGCAGTGTGTAGGTCCACGCCCAGAATCCAAACCTTGAACCCTGGGCCACCGAAGCCAGCCACATGAACTTAACCACTACACTGCTGGGCTGGCCCTGATATAAGGATAACTTTTTATTTTCTAGTAATCATAATTTTCAAAGTTAATTTTTAGTTTTGATTTTCCCTTAACATATTATCTTTATACTTCTTACTAAAATTTATGTTAAATTTTAATTATTTCCAAGCTGTCTTGGTTTTCATACAGAATTGTAATTTAGAATTGAATTATGTCCCTGTGTGAGTGTGTGTGTGTGAGAGAAAGACACAGAGAGAAAGAGAGAGGACGAGAGAGATTGATTCATTGATTCATTGATTCATTGATTTAAAATAATAAAGCCTCAACCCCAATTTGTAAAGGACTTTCCTCAATGATGCCATGTTTAACCTTCACTGCTTAAGAAATAGTAAATAATTCAGTGTTTCATTTGACTCTCTCCAGCAGCCTGTGATAGCTGTTCCTCTTGTTATGCCAATTAGCAGAAGGAAAGAGGACGAGATGTCTCTTGGAAGTGCGCCCTTGGCAAAGCAACAATCATATCAGGCCTCTGAATATGCCAGCAGCCCTATAAAAACAAAAACAGTAACAGGTATGTGTCAAGAACTCTAAAGAGTCTGTGATTTTAACCTACCTTTAAGCTAATAAGTTATCATGTCATCCAGGCCACAATTTCATGAATGCTGGCCAAAGACTTGAGACTCCTGGAATAGAGACAAAGGACTTTGTTATCTACAGCATTAGCAGTAACCAGAGTATTAGCATTTTTTTCTGTCCCTGCCCTAAGCCTGATTCCCACAGGGTGGCACGAAGAGGGCCAGGTGATACCTATATACACTGACATTATGGGAGAGGAACCCTCAATTTAGAGAAATTGGACTGTAATGGGTAGAAAGCATGAGGCATACTTTCTGTACCTTGCAAGACTGAAAGCAAACTTGCCCTTTGCTCAGGAGGACTATTTCTCTATCATCTGAGGCTGTACGGTGTCAAATATCCTTGAAAACACAATTGGAAACAAAGGCATTCACTATATCTCTACTTGTAAGACATGTAAAAACACAAGTGACCCGTGGAGAATTGTCTCCCGATACTATGTTCTTTCTTAAAGTGAATTCTTGCAGACCACAATACATCTCAATCTTCTATCTCTCACTTTCTCAGCTAGATCATCTATGCAAATATAAAATATAAATATTTTTCCATAAAACAATTTCTTTTATTGTGTGTAATAAAAAAAGCACTTTATGATTTCACTTTTAAGTGTTGTTTTTCTCTTTAACGTCCAATGTTTGTGATGATGGGCCACCTACCTTCAGATGATTTTATATTTTTCCTTAGGTGTTCGGCTTTATTTCATATAACTCATACATTCCAAAACATATTGAAAAAGATTTTATATTTTCAATAAATAATAAATCACTTATTGAATGTCTGTAATGGGCAACACTCTGTTGTAATTGATATTGAGGGTAGAAATGTTAATAAGACATGAGCTTCCCTAAGGAATTTAAAATATGCTAGTATACGCAAGGAAGTTCAAACTAACACTTGTGGTTTAGAGGAAAAGTTAGTATTATTTCCTTACTATATTTAACAACAGCAATAAAAATGCTAACATACATTTTTGTGGAGTTTTATACATTACTATTATTATCCTCTGCTTTGTTACTTTTCCTAAAATATGATGCTATGTTTGTTTTGCGGAATCATTAGACTTCCACCTGTCACTATCCATAAGCGTTTTACTCTGTTGAGATTTTATCAATTCTCAAAAATGCCTGTGCTTAGTTTTTGTATCATAGGAAGATGAAAAGTTTTTAATAAAGTTAGATATTATTTCCTTTAGATACCATACTAGAGTTTTAGACTTGAACTGGTAATTTACATAAAGAGGTTTATAAATATCACCTGTTAATAAAATGAAATAAGTGTCCGCTAAGTGTCAATTGATGAAAATAAATTTAATCTCAATATGTATGTAATCAATATTTAATCTCAATTGAATAAATTCAATCTCAATAGTCACATTTTCTGACCTTCTTCTTTACTCTTTAGTCCTTTTCTTTAAATCACACTTGATAGTTGATTTAAAGTAATTGCTAGGAATGAGTAAAGATGAAAGAAAATGCTTATGATTGAAATAAAACTACATGACATAGAACTCTATGGAAAATATGATGATAGATTTTAGAAAGCATTGGTATGAGAAGTTTTATATATAAATTCACATCCCATAACAGTTACATATCAATTCACAAGTGATATCAATTAATATCTGAGATTTATTTTGCTTTCTTATACTTGCCCATTTTTTATAAGAAATTAATTTTATATTGAGGAAAATATTAAAACCTGAAAACAATTTCCCATCACTAATTATTACATTATAGAGTACGAAGACATATACAGATGACATTGTTCTTTATTTCAAATGACAAATGTGAGCTCTGGTTCTTTGCTTTTGAATTGTGGATATTTGCTTTTTCTGTCTTGAACGTTTCTGCATCTCTAGAGCCCTTAGGTTAGATATCCTACAGGTATTCTCCTTATAGGTAAGGAATAAATTATCTCACCAAATATAGATTCTTACTCAAGCTAGCATAAGAATGAACAGTTATCAAACTAATGGCTGTGCTTGCCTTGTTTTGGGACTGTGAACATTTATAGAAGGTAAAAGGCCCTGAGTATAACATGTGTTCTTTATGACTTATGTATCTTCCCCCTTGGATGCCCACCATTTTCACTTATCTGGACACCTTGGCAGTAGCACTCTCTCTTTTTTTTGAGAATGCTCTTTGCTAACCATTTGCTCTACTTAGAATTCAGTTTCAAAAATTTGTTTTACTTTTAATTAGAGTATACAGTTTCTGTTTTGGTTTTAATTTAAAAAATGTTTTATGAGTCCTCTGAATGTGTACCTACTTCTAAATGTAGTTATCCCTGTTTTATTATTTACATTGCAACATAAACTGTAATGAATTTGGTAAGGTATTCATAGCCTTTTACACATTTTTTTTTTGCTGTCTTTGTTTTACTTTTACCATCAGAACGCTTTTAAGTGTATAGTTCAGTAGTGTTAAGTATATTCACATTTTTGTGAAATGCATATTTTAAGATTTTAACTGAACTGTACAGTGGCGAAATGTTACTGTTAATTTATGCCTGAATACTTATTATAATAATTTTTTATTTTTATATTCTCAACCCAAGATCCAATGTTGATCTGAAGTTCATCCCCAACAAGGTGTGTAGTATTTTTTGGCACGTGAAAACCAAGGCTTGGTGATCCTGCACTGGGCTTGATTTTGCTTTCTAATTATTCAACAAGAAGCAGGTGTCTTCCTCTTCCAGTCTCCACTAATGAGTGTTAAGTAGGTGGCTGCAGGGAGAACATGTGCATGATGGCTGGAAATGTGTTGACAGCAGAACAGCACTATTTCAGTGATACAGGCACATAGGGCAGGCCAAGCCAGAATAAAAGCATGTTTTACATGAAGATAATATATTATCACAAAATTCTAAATAATCTTATAGAGAATCTGCATATCTTTCAAAACAAGGAAACCTCTAAAAGCTATGACATCTGTTTACCCTATGTTTTGGAAATGTTGTGAACATTAATTTGGAACTCTTGATGAAAATGTCTGTAATGGAGATGAAAACTTTAAAAAGGATACTCCATAAATGATAGCTCTTTAAAAAGTACTAGCCATTTTTGTCTTACATGTTTATATATTACTTTTAAAGTCTAAAGCAATGTAAGTACACAGTTAAAATAATAGAAGGCCTTTTAATTTGACTCCTCGAATACTACCAAGATAATAAAGACATGATAATGATGTAAATTTAGTAGATTAAAAGTACGGAACTTTAGCTTCTGACTATCACAGAGTAACAGGGACTAGATTTATATTCCTGCTGTAAATAACTAACAAACTGGTCAAAATACATGGGAGAAAAAAACGTTTCAAGACATTGGACAATAGGCAGTGCAGGACTGTGATACCTCATAGAAGCGAAACAATTGAGTTGAGTCCTAGGATTGCCCTGGCTTTCCGGCTGAAGGCACCTTCTAGACCACAGAGCAAGGTGGGGTATATGAAGCCGAGCTCAGCTGTCTTACTGAATTGAAGTTCTGGGAGGCAGAAGGATTGAAGTATAAGAAGGCGGGGAGATGACTGGAAATTATGGGACAAAGTTCCAGAGAGAGAAACTACGCAGCAAAAAAGGTCCAGGAGTCAGCAGTTGAGTTCTCCTTGAGTATTTGCTGCATAGTAAGACGTGCATGCATAGGACGAGACTCCACAGGTTGGGCAAAGGATGACCAAGGAGCTGTGATCTGAATGATTCCCAGAGCTCACACAGGGCTGGAAGGAATTCAGGTTCCTATTGTCTATAGTATAGAATTCCCATTGATCATTCGGGACATTCAGTAGAGACCCCAGAAAGGACAATGCCTCAGTAGTGGAGCTAAACTATCCATAGAGTAAAGGCTACCCTAGACCCACCTCAAACAAGCTTAAAAAAAGCCTCTGAAGGAACCAAAACAGTGAGTAAGTTAACTGCTGGCAAAATGAAGCCTAACACTATTAAGAGGAATACGAGATCCAGACATGTAACAACTTAAGTGAAGCATTCAGTCAAAAACTGTTAAAGATACAAGGAAGCAGGAAATCTTGACCAGAAGAAAAACTAGCCAATAGAAATTTACTGAGAAATGACATAGATGATAGAATTATCAGGTATATTAATACTTGTACATTAAAACAGGTATAAATTATGTTCAGATATTTAAGGAAAGATGGATACATGCTGGAGAGAAATGGAAGATATAAAAAAGAACCAAGCCCAGCTCTAGAGATGAAAAAATATAATATCTGAAATGAGAAACTCACTGAGTAGAATTAGCAGTAGAGTAGACATTGCAGAAGAAGAAATCAATAAACTTGAAGACAGAGGTAGAAACTTGCCAAAATGAAACACAAAGAGAATAAAGGGAAAACAATGTACAGAGCTTTAGTGAACTGTGGGACGATAATTAATTAGGGTAGTCAGGGTAGGTCTCATTGAAAGGTCGTATTTGACCAGACACTTGAAGCAGGTGAGGGAGTGAGCCATGTGGATATCTGTAGAAAAATCATATGGGATTATGTATATGTATATATATATACACACAGATGTATACACACACATACACATACACATACACACACACACACATATATATATCTAGGAATGAATTATCTAATTAAACCCCTTTACTTTATAATTAAGGAGATTGAGTCAAAAAAAGGTCAAGCAACTTATCCAAGGTTAAAAAAATATTTAATGAGACTTTTTTTTAATGAAAATTCCAGATTATAGTAGTCATTCTGTGATTAGTTGCCTTCTTTTGTTCCTTAATGGCATAACCAGCTCTAAAAATCTAGGCTGTGCAAATTCAGTTATCTACTATTTCCCCTCTAATACCTAATATATAAGCAGCCAACTTCAGAGTGTCTTTTTTTTTTTGTCAAGAAATTGTTCTAAATTTTCAGCTGAGTCCCATAGGACTAAGATAGTGAAGAATTTTGCATTAGAGCTGCTAAT